CCTTTGGCCATCAATACTAGCAATTTTGGCCTTGCAACACTCACTGATATGTTTCCGGGGCGTCATAATTCATTTCTGGCCTGCTTGGCCATGTCCGTGCGCTGTAGAAGCTCTCACAAGTGCACAGAAGCAATCTGGCATGTCTTTGGCCATCAATACTAGCAATTTTGGCATTCCTGCACTCACTAATATGTTTCCTGGGCGTCATAGTTCATTTCTGTGCGGTAAGTACATTACCATTGTACACGGCGGCAATGACATCTACCAAGGGGGAACATTGTTGGCAACGTTAGGCCATGATGCGGCGCTCATTCGTAGTGTCGCGAGAGGCGTAGGGTCAGCGAGAGATTTCTGCCATTCAGCAAGGTTAGTTGCACGCTTGGTAGGGGGCATTGCAAAATCGAGGGCACTCTTCACGCTGGAGATTCGACTGCCCTCTATAGTGAACGACTAGGCACTGCGCAACGCACCAACAGTTGCAGCATCGATGACAAAGGATGGGGTAAGTGATCGATCGGCCCCAGTAGTCAAGGTACCTAGCAAATGGCGAACTAACACGATGACGACACTTACGGCTAGCGGAGGAAGCACGCAACAAGTAAAAGCGCGACGCTATTCTTCTGCAGGGGCATCGGTGAACGGTGAGTGACGGAAAAGTATACATACATATATATATATATATATATATATATATTCAACACGTATATGTTCAACTTTATATGTATGTATATATATGTGTAGTTGTATATGCATACACAAACACACATACACACACACACACACACACATACATATATATATATATATATATGTGTGTGTGTGTGTATGATGTAGTGTGGTGTGGAAGTAAATTTTTCATATGGTATGAATACATTCACAAACATGAGGACAATTAAATAAACAAAAGTACATCGTACAGTAATACGGGGATGTTCACAGGTGCACAAATGTATTTGCAATACCTGAAAGGACCCCATCCATGATTGTATAAAATAAATGTACCTTACCAAACAGTATGACTTTAATTTTGATATATATTCGGATATTTAGTTTTCAGTAAACTTATAATATTCTGTTGGATGATTTGCGATGTACATACACTGGCAGTGCAATTGCCTGGTTGCAGTTGACTGAATACAATATGAGCGGATGTCGGCTTCGGTGGATATATATTTATGATCCTATACAATGACATACTGTTCAGCGGTGACTCAAGCGGCCTCACATAGTGGAATTTAATATTATTCTTACAGCCACTACACTATATCCGAACATGTCGCGACAATGTGTTCGCCCACGTCTGTATAGTTCAAATCATCATACAAACTCGAATGAGCAACACTGGATAATTGGAAAACAACAGACCATACATCAGCATATGAGGGATTATATACTAGTACAGTTATTAACTTACATGATTGGAAGTCAGTTGACGAGTCGTTGCTCTGCCAGCACAGGCGGAACATGGGTTTGTCAATCCACACGCCTCTGATATGTGGCGTCGTCTTCCCTTTCTTCGATGAGAAGACGAAGAACTTGACTGCGCACTGAGGGGACGTCGCCAATCCGGCGAGAAGCGCACTCATTTTTCATTACTTTCATACTATATATTCCTGGTATACTTCACACTACAGTAAGTGTACACAGTAGTTGCATTTGATATCTCGACTCGATATAGAACGCTCAGCTAAGCTATGGCCCTAAATATTCGAAGCACTAGCGCACTCCGCCGCTGATGATGCATGTATATACGGCCACAAGTGACAGGGGTGACTAGAATGAAAGCGTCCTACCTCAACACATAGGGGAGGCAACTGTTGTTACAAATATAAAACAATACTTCAGAGCAGAGAAATATTGATATTTATTTCAGTTAAAAATAGCTGTTTATTTACTACTATGTGCACAGGCAGTCCAGGCAGTCCAGGCAGTCCAGGCAGTCCCGGCACACACCCTAACTACATTGGTAAATACGCATCAAATAACTATATCTCAACGTACTCCTTGAACGAACAGGGAGGCATTGGCTATTTATTGAATATTTCCTATCTACCATATACCAATGTGTTCACTACCTGGTAAACGCACATGGACTCGCATGTACGTTTTACCAGAGAAGTAGAACGGGTTTCAATCAGAAATCTGATCAACCCTAAAACCCTAAAACCTGGGTTTACTTAATGCCCTGAATAAACCCCAATAAACCCAGGTTTATCTAAGAATATGTATTACTGACCATATTCTCGTATTTAAAAATTATATTAATAATAAACAAATATCTAATTATAAATAGTAAAATATTTTGTAATAATTTTTTATTTTTTATAAACTGCACCAATGTTCATAAAATTGATCCGCTTATAGATAGAGTTTTAAAACTGAACAAATTAATTGGAACTAGTTCAATGCTCCCGGAATCTGGCCAACCCAAGCGGCTGAACACTAGCACAAACACCTTGAGTACAATACCAAAAGTTGAGGTTGTATATAAAGGACATACAATTACGCTTTATACCATTCTATACTCTTAACAGTAGCAGTCTATTTTAGCTTGTGACTTCGGGAGACTTGACAGGACCTTGGACTGTATAAGGGTGACAACCAAGTTCAAAACTTTAAGAGCTTTAATGATGAACACGAAACCAAACTACGACACTAGAAAATCAAAATGGAAAATTCGTCGGGGAGTTAAAAAACTCGTGCTCTCCATCTGCTCGCTTCTAGTCTTATGGTGGAACATTTCAGAAGTATGTATCGAAAATTTTGCTTTCGTTTTGTCGTAATATTAGCTCACTATATTCTAAACTGACAATGCGGTGCTTCACTGACCAAGGTATATTGTCTTTCTTAGCAGATTGGCGCAGAACACGATGCGAATGAGCGCTTGCACATTGTAACCGTCTTTGACGAAGCGCGCACCAGCCACGCTCGAGCAATGATAACCTCGGTGCTGCTTTCAACGAAAAGTACCGTTCATGTTCATATGGTTGTGCCGGATGACGTCCGTGACGAAATGAGTAGCTGGTTTCAGACACTCAATTCCGTTTTCAAACCTGGAACAGTGCTTCTTTCAACGTATGATTATCGTTGGTGCGTCGAGTGGACAGGTCTGCTCTTGCACATAAGCCCCCATATTCACATCTCAGCGCACTGTAAGTTCTTCTTGCAAGAAATTTTGCTAGACGTGGAAAAGGCCTTGTATATAGATCTGGATGTCGCTGGTGTTGGGGATATCTCTGAATTGTTTAACCACGACGAGACTGGATATATAGGGATGTCCATAGACACCGGTTCTCTGTGTCAGAGGTTTCCCGAAAAGTGTGCATGGCCAATCCCATTTTCTACTGTGGTGCCAGGTGGTCTAGTTTGTGGAGAGCAGCCAGATAAATTGCGCTACCTTCAGCCCAACTATACATGTCCAGAAGATTACGGTCTTACTCCTTTGCAGTTTAATGGTGGTGTAGTAATGCTACACCTACACCAGATGCGG